CCCTCTCTGTTCTTTGCTTTTTTTTTCTTTGCCTATAAATTGGAGTGATAATTTTATTATCTGAAAACATTATAAAAGCTAATAAATTAATGCTGTAAATTCTATAGCATGTGCCTGGAAACAGTGTGTTCAGTAAATGTTAGTCAACTTTGGTTTATTTGTATTTGCATTAATATTAGGTGTCCGTTAGCATTTTTAGCCAGCATAAATGTGCATAAGTCACTCTCATAATTAATCCTCATCTCATTTTTTCCCAATTTCAGCACTGATCAATTCTTAAGAAGTTCCTCTCTGATCTCAATGATTGTAGCAGTTTTTCTCTCAAATGGTCAGATGCTTTAAGTGGCTTTTAGACTCAATTTAAGGACCAGTTTGCCAGATTGTTAAGAGAAAATGCATCTAATTTGCCAAAACCAAATTAACTCCTAATACACAAGGGGACATGTTTGAGCAGTAAACAGTTAATAAAAATATAAACACTTTTATTCTCCTTATTCCATGTGGGTTTAAATTTCATTATTAAACTTACACTTGCATGTCCAGACAAAGAATACACAATTAGCACAATTTAAAAAAAAAAAAAACACCCTCTTCAAATTACCTAAATTACTTATTCAGCCAAAGGAAGATAAAAAGTTTTCCCAACTCCCCAACAAGTTGGTTTTAGTTTCTACGTACTGTGGGGTCTTTGGATGACTTCTGTTTTTCTCGCTATCAAGTCTCATTAAGTACACTGGCCGTATTTTGAACTAAACGCTAATGTTGCAAGACATTTTATAATTCCATTTCTTTTATAGGCCAGTCACAGTAGATCTTTCATTTTCAATGTAATGTTATTCTCTACTGAGTCCTAAGGCAAAATCTTGTCATCGAACATATATGTGGGTGTGTGTGTGTTGCAAATGCAATCAATTAATTGACACACTACAGTTGAAATGACTGGCTGGCTCCAGCCACGATGTTTCAGCAGAATTGCTCTCCTCCATAGCTTTATATTGGAGATTTGTTAAGTCAGACTTGGCAATTTGTGGCCTCTGCGTGGGACCTTTCTGGAGTCCCAGTACCTGGGTTTGGCTTCTTGGTATATGAAGGTCTCTTACTCAGTGTTCATGCAATCGTGGCTCTTTCCGTGAAGATGACACCTCCTCCTATTTTGCGGACAAAAGGGCCCTCTTTCCTCGTGGGCTGTGTCATAACTGAGTTTATGATGTTAAATCAGGGGCAAGGCTGTGAGAGCAAGTCTGAGATTCAGAAGAGAAGCCTGATAGCATCAACCCCCAGGGAGTAACAGTCCAAACATTTACTGACAGGAGGACTCTGAGAGGCCTTAGCATTCCCTGTGGTTAGATGTCCTGAGTCGAAGCCCACATTCCAGACACAGGGGCAGGAAGAGGGGACCCCACACCAGCTGCTTCTACCTCAAAGACACCCTGCCTCCCTTTGTCCTTCTATATTAATGGACTTTCTCTAATGATCTTCAAGAAGGTTCTCATTCCAGCTGATCTTTAAGGGATCTTTAGGGGCAGGATGCCTTTCCTTTAAATCGCCTTTCTGCAGACAGGTTTCCGATTTGATTCAAGGCCACATCCTGGCACCTGGTTTCTGTAGGCCAAAGAATTACTGCTCCTGATGAATTGCTCTGCGTTCCAAGGCTACTGCTGACATATTGCAATCTCTGACCATTTTCCAGGTCTCCCCTACACACATTTAGTCTTTCTGTTTCTCCCTCCTCAACCCATCCAAATGCATTTTAAGACAAAACACAGCAGCAAGACCTAAGCAGCATAGCACCTGAAGCGTGTAGTAGATATTCAAAACGATGCATTGAATGAATGCATCCAAGCTTTGGAGCCTTGGAGCCTTGGGTTAGGGAACTTCATTTCCAAGTGTCTGCAGCTTCTCACAGAGCACCTGCCAGTATGAAGACAGAAGTGAGGGAGGGCGCATCTCAAAGGGCTCCAGAGCTGGTTCCCTGACAGGACAGGTAAAGAGTAAGCTCTGCATCTCTGGACAAACACCTGAGGGGCACTACAGGTTTAAATAAAACCTCAAATGGGGGTGCTGAATTAACAAGTCTTTGGGGTTCCTTTTAACCATGAGTCTTCTCAAAGAAGATAAGGGGGAGAAGTATAAAGAAAAAGAATAAAAGTGGGAAGATGGGGGCTGGTAGAAATGAAAGAATATACTCTAAAAGGAAATAGAGGCCCTCCCTGGCGCATTGCCACAGCCGCTTGAGTATATCCACACCCCCCCTGGGAGCTGACCCACATGAAGTCAGCAGACCTCTCCTGACCTGCCCACTGCTCCCCTCAGCAGTGTATTTCAGTATACCCACCTGTTCTGCTCCCCACACTGTCTTTGGCGAATCCTCTCACCCCCTGCTCCTCTGGCCTGTACCCCAGTTCTGTATGCATAAATAAATAAATCTTTTAAAAAGAAGTATCATTTCAGCAAAAATGTATACTTAAAAATAAATAAATAAAAGGAAACAGAAAGAAAGGTCTGAGGTTGGAGACCATTGGGACAGAAACTGAAGAGCCCCTGAGAGGGCTGGTCTCTGGGTGGGCAGTCAGAGATGTGTCAGGCACCCAGACCTCCACCTTCAGCACCCACCCTTTCCTGTCTTGTGTATTGACCCTTTGGGCTTGGCATGGCATGGGGAACATGAGGCCTGTGAAGCTTGGCCTAGGCCAAAGAAGGAGTAGACCTCTTAGCAAACTGGAACATTCCCCTGAAGGCAACCAAGACACCAAGTGCTCTCCATAAAGGCACTCTATCCTTGTCACAGGATGGGGGATGGATGGGACAAAGACAGGAAGGAGCCCTTCTCTGCTCCACCCCATGACCAGAGAATTGGGTTGGACCAGAATCAATAAGCATCTACTGCTCAGCTAGGCCTGTGCCCAGACACAACCATGGGGGTAGATCCCTGAACCAGTCATAGGAATTGGGCGATCCCCTTCCCCCTCTTCAGAAGCAGTCTTTGTAGGTAAAACAAAGCAGCCTTTTCCCTAAAAGACCTTTCTGAGCTTCTGCGTTGATGGTGTGATGCCTTCTGACAGGGCTCAAACTGGCCCTCAGAGGGGAGGGTTTTCTTTAAAAAAGATTTATTTATTTATGCATACAAGAGCTGGGGAGAAGGCCAGAGGTGCAGGGGGGAGGGGTGAAAGGATTCACCAGAGACAGAGTGGGGAGCAGACTGACAAAAATACATTGCTGAAGGGAGCAGCAAAACAAGACAGAGAGGTCTGGGCACCATGTGGGTTAGTTCCCAGACAGGATGGAGCTCCTTTTGCAGTGGCTGCTGACAGCTTGATAGTGCTGAGGCTTAACCTCTTGGGCTACCAAGAGAACCAAAGAAGGGGAGTTTTTTCTGATATAGCTTTGCTGTTATAGACAGGGAACCTGAGTATGGGCCTTGGGAAGTGTCACAACAACCAGGAGATAGGCTGGGCTGGGTGCTGGGGATTTGCCCCTGAGCCTGGGCCTGGTCCTCCACCTAGCCCGGTGCAATTAGAATATCTGATCCCCACAGAGAGGATGAGGAAGGAAAAGCCATTGGAAGCAGGAAAAAGGGGGGATAGACACCAGATCTTTTCATTTCCTTTCCCTCCTCTTCTACTGCCCTTCCTGGCCATTCCCTCTCCAGAGGAGTTGGCTTCAGCTGAAATCCACAATCAAACCCCAGGGCTTCCGCTTCTGGTTGATTAGGAGTCAGCATCCACAATTGATCCCCCTGTCTCTCTTGTTCTTATGATGTCTCCTTTTTAAAAAAGATTTATTTATTTATTCATACAGCACCGGGGTACAGGCCAGAGGTGCCTGGGCAGTGAGGCTCACCAGAGACAGAGTGGGGAGCAGAACAGGCAGATCAAGGGTAGTACATTGCCGAGGGGAGCAGCGGGCAAGATAGGAGAGGCCTGCTGCGCCATGTGGGTCACCTCTGCTCTCTTGCAGTGTTGCATGCCGACCCAATGCACCACCAGGGAGGATCAGATGTCTCATTTTTGAGACTATTATTTCATGTTATTGCAGCCCAAATGGTACATGTGGATCCACCTTAGCCTGATCAACAGTTTCCCATACCCCCACAGTTGCCCATGCAGGGTATTCAACCCCCCACCCCAACACACACACCCCCTGGGATAAGGGTGCCTGTTGTTATCACCTTGTCAGGTGCCACCCTTTGCGGTTCTCCATCTTTTAGCTGCTCTTGACTTTGGGTTGTGACTTCTTCAATAGCAGGCTGGTCCCTACGGATCCTCCCACACAGAGGAGAACTCACAGTCTGGTACTGAGACACTGAAGCTGGGGACACACTCACACACGCCACACCCACTGCAGAACCATCTCAAAAAGGACTGTGCACACACACAACACACTCAAGCACATGTTCCCTAGTCGGTCTGCAGAGACGATCTTCCCCTCCAGGACCTCCTCCTCTCGCCATCGTGGGAGGGGGGGCACTCCTGGCCACGTGGTTTCATGTCTCCACCCCGGAATTGGAGACACCAAGAGCAGGCCCACAGCTGGGCAAAAACACCTGGTGAAATCACGGATAGTCAAGCAAGCACGAAATCACACAAAGGATTCTAATGGGAGGGTGCGAGAGCGCCTTCCTTCTGCGGGTCCCTCCTGCATCCCCCAGTTTTCCTTCCTCTGTCCCCTACAAAGCATCACAGAGCCGGGTTCAAATCGATTGCTTTATTGACTGTCTACATACAGAGGCATATAGAAAAAGGGCGCGGGCTCCGGAGGGCCACTCCGCCCCGGCCGCTCTTGTGCTGCGCTTTGCCCACAGGGGAGGTCCCAAAGCCCCAACCCCCCCCTACCCCCAACACCAACCCTTCCTTCAGAATGAAAAAAAGAAG